TACTTCCACAACGTGCTGAGCAGTGGAAGGCAGGAGAGAGTAAAAAAGCTATTTCATCGCCAAATTCGCTGAAATGGTGTGAAGAAAAGTGGATATCTTCTTCAAGGAATGACCTGTGTGGATCAGCAACACCACACCTCCTCAAATAAGATCATGCTCTATCGTTCCTCCATGCCTGGCATCCAATGCCTGCACCCCCACCCTCCTCAACTTGTTAAGGTTGCCAGCAGTACGTAGCCCCAAAAGCTTAAGGCCTTTTAAACAGCCCATCTCAACACTTGGCAGCCCCTGCAGTTTCTACGGCATTGTTTCCAGAGGTGGCTGACCAGACTCCAGTTTTCCCCTGCCCCCCTGGAATGAAAATTCAACTTTTTGGGTGAGATTTTCTAGAGTTGGTTATGGTAGTTGAGAATTTTCCCAACTCCGCACACCTAACTGGACAGCGTACATTTGGCCACACTGTCACCTTCCCCACGGGCACCCTGGGACAGGGGGAAAAGTGTGGCCAATAGGAGAAAGCCCTTTGAGGATAATTGGTTAGGGCAAGGGGCTTAGATTTTTTTTTGATTTTCTCTGCTATTTTGAGCAGAATCACAAAGGAGAAATCCCTCATTCCAATTCTCTGCATTTGTTGCGAGTACCTATAGAATTGTGAAATTGGAAGAAAAGGAGGTTTGCAACGAACATTGTTGGACTCACCTAAGTCATGATTATCAGTTCAGGAATATTGGAACAGAAGTACATATTCAGTTTGCCAACTCTTTCTATTTGCCTTTCATCTATATCCTGTAAGAAAAATCTCTCAACCCAGTCCTCAAATTTTCAGTTGATCTAGCATCCATAGACTTCAAAAGGACTGTGGTGACATTCCAGGTTCTTATTATCCGCTGTGTGAAGAACTCCTCTTGATTTCACACCTAAATGTTTCAGCTCTAACCTGAAGATTGTTTCTCCTTGTTATGACTTTCTCCCACCAGATGAAATAGATTATCTAACCAATCAAGTTCTTTCATTTTGAACTATCCCCTTGACTACCCTAGCAAATTATTGTCTTCATTCCCAATACCTTGATTGAATCAACCCTCAATTTCCTGTTCTCAATGGAATCCAACCCAGGGCTAAATTTTCAAGCTGTACTGATGTCAGGAACTGAGCAACGAGGCCCAAAAATTACAAAGTCATCCACTAAGCTGGCGTCCTGACCCTTTTCTCAACATCATTCTGGCCAATGTGGATTCAGAGCTTAAGAAGGTCAGACAACTAGACTAACTATCAGATCTGCTGAGCAGGGTTTGAGGAGAACAAGTGGAATTTCCCAGCTTCCTATTTGTCAACATGACAGGTAGTGGATTGGCTGCCTGGAAGCTGAAACATAGCAGCAGGCCAATGTCTCAACCCTCCTGGCCTGGCCTGCCTTGAGGACATAGCTGACGGCTGCTGTTTGTAGGCCCAATGACCCCACAAGCCACGCCTTTCCACCCTCCACTGTGGTATCTTGACTTATTTTTGCATTTTTTTTCAGATAAAGTTTTGAAGGAGTGTCTGAGAGTGAATTTTCTGGCTGAAGCAACCACCCTCCTCCCCCAGTTACCTGCATTCCGCTGGCTCTTTCCCTCAAACATGATGGCTAGCTTTGAAAATTCACCTTAATTGGGTAGGGAACCTGTCTCCATGCCAGATAAGGACCCATCCACATAAAAATCATGGTTTTATTAAGTTTCCTACTGAAATGAATTCAGGGCACAAAAACACTCTTAATTATTCCACCTCAATTGAGAATTATTCTTTTCCCTGGAAAATATATATTATCCATAAGTTTTATAAAAATATACTGCACGATCATTCCAATTACAGTACATTTGGTGTAAGCCAAATCAATTCCTTCCAATAAATGTATTTTTCCCAATACACTTACAATTACAGTTAGTATTCATAATGTCTACTGCATGTAAAGCATCCAGTTCAAGAGCTTTTACACAGTTTCCAGCCTCATGTTATACTATGGCTGAAAAGCCTTAGGCCTTCCCCAATTGTGCCAATGTGGTGGCTGTCCTAAGCTTTATTGCATCCCTCAGCCTGTAATCATGGACCATGGAAAGAGACAGTCTGCAACACCCAGCCTTTGCATTGATAGACCAGCAGGCTTTTTTCAGGCCAAAGAGTATCTTTCACTGAGGTGATAGTATTCCAGATGCAGTTGATGTTTATCCTGGTCCGCGTCTGTAGGAACAGCCCATAGAGCACAGTGTTGCATGTTACAAGTGTTTTTTGGGATAGACCTTGACAAAACTCACTCCATCTGCTTCGAGATCTTCTTTCCAAAGGTTCGTTCCAGAAGAGGGAGATTAACTGTCCCTTTCCTGCCACAGCTCTTTTGAGAATATGTGGAGGGAATGACGGTCAGGGTGTGCAAGAAAGAACTGATGCAGAGGGGCCTTATCACCTTCAGTCTTGGAGAAAATCAGCGCCCCCTAGTTTGTGCAACACATCTGCATGATATAAACCTTTAACCTCCAATATCATTCTGGTGACTTTGTACTCTACTCCACATGTTCTACTTAGTATATTCTGAAATACTTTGAATATCAGCCTTGAAATTCATTGCAAGCTCTTCCTAGACTTCTTATAGCTCATGGCTTAGGTTTTCTATACACTCAATTATTCCAATGCCACCCTGACCAACCCTGAAAGAACGAGTTAATCCAAAACCCTCTGCCTGTATCTTAACTCATTCCAAGTACCTGTTACCTCTGTGCTCACTGACCAATTTTGGCTCCTGGTAAAGCAAAGCCTAGATTTAAAAATGTTCATCCTTGTTTTCAAAACCCTCCATGACCTTGCAATTCTTTCTCTCTGTAGCTTCCTGTAGCTGCACTGCTCTTTGTGTTTCTTTGATTTTGGTCTCTTGCACATCCCTGATTTTCATCATTTCCTTATTTATAGGCAGTCATGACTTCCATTGCCTTGGCTCTGGACTCTGAAATTTCTTCTCTGAACTTCTCCACATCTCTTTCCTCCTCAAGGATGCTTTTAAAAACCTACCATTAATCGCCTGTCCTAATATCTCTTTACATTGTTCAGTGTGAAATTTTGTTTCATGAAGTTTCTGGGATGTGTCTCTGGAAGGTTTCCAACATTAAAAATGCCATATAAAGAGTTCTGAGGAAGGGTTATCGGACCCAAAATATTAACTGTTTTTTCCTTCACAGATGCTGCCAGACTTGCTAGGCTTTTCCAGCAATTTTGATTTTGTTCCTATATAAAGGCAAGTTGTTAATAATATCAATGTGTGTATCTTTTTGTTCCTTTAAAGCTCTCCCAGTCTGCCAGATTTCCATTTTGCTATGTATTTGTTTGAGCCTCTCTTAACTTTACACAGTAGTTTCTTCATTTCTTGGTTATTGGAGTTAACCCAAGAAAATGGACTTGGGCTAATAAGTAACAGCAAAAACTCACATTTGCATTGTACCTTTAACATAGGAAAATTTTGCAAGGCTCTCCAAGGAAGTTTATTCAGACAAAGATTGATATGCATCTGTAACAGCTGCATTGCTGCAGCTAATGACATCCTAACATGCCACAGCTTCTGATGTGTACCAGCTTTATGTTTGACACAAATGGACACAATACTAATCCACCGTAATACTACAATTTTCATGAGAAACACCAAAATTGGGAGCAATACTGACATCCTGCTTTCACATATGGCTACAACATTTACAGTCATAACAAGAAGAATGTAGCTAAATCTCATGTGCAATAGGAATATCATAAGAACACACACAAATATCCTTCCCCACAACCAGCACTTTGAATAGAGAAATTACAGTCCCAATATCATATTCAGCATGGCTTGCAACTTAATGAAAAAGTCATATTTAACATATCATATATTATTATCTCATTCTGCCTCATAAATTGTTTTAATATTTTGGTGAAACCATATCAGACTGGTGAAATGTCAATACATAGATACTGATCCAGAAAACTGAAAAATGCTGAATGTATAGTAAATCATATTAATAAAATCCATCAACTCCAAAAAGCTGACAATTTAAATATAAATCAACAATTCAAAACATAACCTTAAATACAGACTTGAATACCAGGTCCATTGTTTTAAAATAATTAAATCAGACAAGTCATGTTTTAGTCCATGTGATTTCTATAAAAACAATTGGTCATACTGAAGTGTGCGGTGGCACATAAATTACACTGCTGGTTTGCCCTATACATTCACTACTTGTAAAGGAGAAACAAAGCACTCAAACATCACGTTTTATAGTGTTGAAGTCAGAAAACTGTGATGGGATATGTGGGTACTAAGCAGATAACATTTGGTAGCATTACACACACCCCCTCTCGCAAATGTTGCAGATACTTAGCAACTTTTTGTTGGTGACCTGGCAGCATTTTGAAGTGCACTCAGTGAAGTTTAGCCTTTAAAGTAAAAAAAAACTTGTTCTAAACGTTATAAGTATTAGAATAGACCAATTGTTGTATGTTACAATTGCCTCTTCATTTTTGAGTATAATACAGCAGATTGCTGACTCACATTAATACCAAAGTGACGTATCTCAAAGTTACAGCAGTTCATGAAAATACAACAGGGGTTGTAATGCTTGAAGTGAAAAAAAACTCTTGTCTGGCAGTACATGGCTTACTAAGAAATGTCAAGTAATGCTAATCACTGTCCCAGTCAGCTACCAAGTATTATGCTGAATCATCTTGGCATTATCCACACATAAACCTAATCTCTACACAAAATAATTATAAGGTGTTTAGGATATTTTGGAGTAATTTTATAAGAAAAGCCCCAAAGGCTGAAAACATAATTTCAATATTTTGACACCATTTCTCTCCAATTTAAAAAATGTCTCAAAAAGTTACACAATGAATTAATTCACTATTATTGGATGTCCAACAATTACTAAATGTTTACGTCAACAACAATTAAAATGAACATTAAATGCATTAATTTAATGTAAATGAAAAATGACCTGATAAAGTTCTATTCGTTGTTCCTCTACTTTCGCCTTTGGATTCTGTAAACGAAACACTCTGAACTCTGCCTTCACCAGGTTTGAAACATTTTTCTCCATTGAGGTGACGTCTAAATACACACGTCTGAAGTATGGGTTATATTGTTGGGACGGGATGACATCTACATGAAAAAGCACAGAGTAATAGCAAGTCAATATATCAGCAAAGACCAGCTTGTATATATGTAAAAGCAACTGATGCCAGGATGCAAAGCATTAATTTCAGTCAGGTATCCAAGATGTCCCTACATATAGCAGCATCTAGGACCTCTGCTCCCAGATTTCATAAACAATCAGTTTAAATATAAACCATTAAATTATGACATTTTTCATATTCTGAACTTGGCGTTATGTAATAACAACTTGTTTCAGAGGGTAAAAAGCCTTAGGTTTCCATGTAAAGTAGGCATCCTATTTGTCTGTATTGCTGAGGTGTAAGATAAAATGTTACTATTACAATATTTTCGCTCTAGAGTACTAATACACAAGACTCTCTATTTCTCATAATTTTGCTTCAAAACTTCTAAATGGTCCCTTATTATGCCCTTTTGTGTAACACACAGCAAGTATTTTGCAAGTAATGTATCATCACAGTTAGTCAGGATATTAAGAAAACATCTGCTCTAGCGGAACTGCCAAACTAATAATTCATTTTAACAGTACAGACTGCATTCTGTAAGATATCAGGCATTAACATAAGCGTTACTGAAGAAAGTATTATGTAACAAATAATAATGGCAGAAATTAAGTAAAAGGCTGTAATTTAATCTTATAGGTTCAGTTCAGATGCCTGAACAGTTTGAGCTTTGCTTTTTGCCACTTCTGACATTACCTGGATTCTTCAATTTAATAACTAGCTTGTTACTTTTTCTCAACTGTGTATTATCCTGCATACATATGTTCTCTCTTCCTGTTGGGAAACGGTTTGAATTAAAATTCATGGCACCGATTTCAAGGTTTCTTCCTGCCAGTCTTGTAATTTAATTCCCTTTCCTTTTGGAAAAATGGGAGTGTATCTTAAGAGCTTCAACATGTGGATATGGAAAAGCCGCCCTCTGGTTTAGCTGTTAACCAAAGGTGTACCACAATCTGATTAATACCTATTTGTAATAATCACTGCAATACTTGAGCCCATTTAAACATTAAAAACTTCTGGTAATTTTCAAAACCTTCATGTATTACAACAACATAAGTAACATAAGTAGTAGCAGGTGTCTGCAAACATAATTGAAAAATCAGCTACTCTTTGGTTTGAATGGTGCAAACATATTGTGCCTCTATCTCTGGAGATCAAAGTCAGGGTCTTTCCACCAGTTTCCCAGCAGTTCAGCAAATCACTGACACAGGGTATGAAATTCCCCGACTTGATGTGTTCTGAATTTCGTATTTTCTGTTGGGAGAGTGGTGGGTATGATAATAAATAGAATTAACACTTTAGATAGATTAAGGGTGCTGCACCCAAATTGGCCAGTTGCCCCTGCTGGAAATGTGTGTGTGAATATTCAACAAGGACGCTCCTAACACTCAATGCTCAATGTAATACACAAATAATCATCATTTAGGCACAATATTGAAAAATAATTGGAAGTCATAGAACTGTACACAATAAAGAGCCAATGACTTTTTTGAGAGAAAAGGAGATAAGAGGAAACTAAGAATAAATAGAGCTTGTGTAGCCTCCATGCTGATTGTTGAATTATTACATGAAATAGTTTGTGCAAACTCAACGCTCTTTCCAAAAGATATAAGTTAACTAACCATATAACAGTACAATATTCATTTTACAACTTAACTCAGAATCAATTAAAATGGAACCTGCACCACACTGGTGCTGAATAAAGTGCTGTTCTGAGGATAATGTTAGAGGAACCACTACAGAGTTGCAATTCACACCGATACAAAAGACCATTTGACTTAGTTTAATCCATTCATTCTGAAAAATAACTGCTCTTCTTATTTCTGGTATTATCATGAAATTTGACAAGTATGTATTAGAGTTTCTGAATCCAAGCCATTTTGGTATACATTAGAAGTGGCACTGGCTTCAATATTAAGCCCTGCAAATCCTCAATGAATTCTTAAGTCTACTACCCAATAACACCCCATTAACCAATACCTAAGCAACTCGATCCTTCATCTAATTTCTTATCCATACACTAGTTTTATCCTAATCCCCACAGCATACATTCTAATTATGAAGAGATTCTTCAATTACTATTGCACATGATAGGATTTAGCACTGTTCATTTGGGTTGCTATGTCTAAAAGATATCAAAGCAGTTAATCTAGCAGGATATTGCCCAAATAAAGCTATGTTGCCTGCTGTTAGCTAGGGTAATGTTGTCGAGACAATCCTCACTTTGTCCCTGGTAATGGTTACATTAATTTGCATAAAGTTGAAATAAAATTAATGGACTATGAACCCTGTATCTTGTTCACACTAAATTTGGAAATGGGCATGTTTCTAATCTATTGATATCTTCACAGTATCCAATGACTCTCTCATAATGATCCTCAGTGCCCCTCAAATGTTCTCCCTAAACTCTCTTGACACTCTGGAATAAGTACCCACAGTCCCTTAGGATCTATTTGTTTAAGGTGTTCAGCTTGAACAAAACTTCTATCTTATTTATAGTGAAGCCCTGAATAGTCTTTTTCTGCAAAGGCAATCTTAATCAAATCTTCCCTTGTGAATACTTGACTCATTGTATCTAGAATTTTCACCGCAAGTTTAACGCATAAATCTGACTTGAAAATCATTGTAGAGAGTTGCCAATTATACACAGCTTTGGCTGCTGCACCTCCAGAAACATTTCCTGAATAGGTGGCCGAGTGTTCGAGGAGCTGTGCCAGCTTCAGTATAACAGCTGACATTGATAAAGTGCCCCAGAAACCAATGCATGTCAATGACATCATCCTATATACTCACTCTAACAAATCTAACTCTGTGAATCAGTATATTATTCCATATATGTACTGTAAAACCATTTGGATCCTGACAATGTGCATGTACAGTAGGGTTTCACCTTTTGTAGGAAGCTGTATCACTTAGACAAGGCAGCAATTTTAATACCCATCACTTAGAGCCAGATTGAAAAACAATACAATCAGCAATGTACCTGACCTGGAAGTACACAAGACACTGAGTAAGTAACACAGAAAATGCTCTTTCCTCAAGCTGCGACAGTCACAAATCCAACTTTCCAGAAGTGGAATCATATGTACGAACCCATTCTTCTCTGACTTTTCAACGTCCAATATTTTAAGTTAGGGTTGAGGGAATATACGTACATTTAACAGAATATACTACTATGTCCACTGCAGCCTATGAATGAAGTCTTGTAACAAGCTGACACAGTCTGAACGTTGTACAAGCAAAACAAAAAAGGATAATAAAACGTAAGATAACATAACAAATTACCAGTGTTATTGTATGAGTCTGCAAACCCTGGTGGGGAGTCCAGAACATTGCCAGGGCAAGGTGAAGTCAGGAAGCATTTCTTCACACAATGAGTAACAAAAGTCTGGGTCTCTCTCCTCCCAAAAGCTGCTAATACTAGATCAATTGAAATTTTTGAAGTGGAGACTTGTAGATTTTTGTCAGGGATATTTATGATAGAAATACATTAAGGGACAGGGAACAAAAAGAAGCAGAGGTGAAATGAGGTTAAGATACAGATTAGCCATGATCTCTGTCAACTAGAGGAATTGAATACCATACTCCTCTTCCAATTTTCTAGTTTTAGCCGCTATAAGGAATAAAAGACTTCGATTTAAGCCATCCTTTATATTGATGGAACAACATTTTGTTTTCCTGGCTGCGTATGCTATGTTCTTCCTAATATCTGGTAGCTAGACAATCAGGCAATAATCAGCAGCAATCCTTCAAACATAGGCTTTTGAGATGCTGCCAGACAAATCTTGACATTGCCTACATTTTGGATTATTTTCCATAATCCACAGAGTCCAGGTGACCTCAAAAAAAAAACTGGCCAATAAAAACAGATGTAAGTGGCCAGGATAGCAAGTTGCTCCAACCTACATGAAATATGTTTTTGGATATAGAGGTCACCATGACAACACCTTTGGCTGACAGATGTTTTTGCTTGTTTTTACAAAATTACAGTTTAAACTAATTTATGTTCCCACTACAGAGGGACACACTTAACCCTTTCTGGACAGACTTCAACATTTCCTCAGAAATTAGTTCTTTTCTGTCTAAAATGATATTTTACTTCTTTGGAAAAGAAGTAAATAATTAAAGCGATGGACAGATTAGAAATATAAATACAATACTTTGTTTCCAACTAGTTGCATGAGAGCATGTGGTTTCAGGATACCATTTCTGACTCTGTGTCCGATCTTCTCTCCCTAGCGTTCCCCAGGAGAGGAACTGAAATTTTGGCTCTGAAATTTAGCTTCACATCCAGTGGGATGTATGCACCTAGTGATCTAGAACCACCACCCCACCCCACCCTTTTTTTGAATTATTACAAAATAAAATTTACCAGGAGAGTTGTTGCAATTTGAAAATCAACTGGAATTGTATAGTGGACACTTCAGTTGTACAGAATTATGTTACTTTTCAGAACAGTCAGGTGTACACATTTTTGGGCAGAGCGGAACAAGGAGCCTTTGAGTTCAGGAAAAACTGCCTAACAACAGCCTTTGGAATGGTCCAGCTGCAGTTTGTTACTGATCTGCAAGTACAGTGCACTCAGAGACATCCAGAAGTCTGCAAACAGGAGGCATCTCTCACCATCTCGCTGAGTAAAAACGACAAAACTAAAAGACTCTGATGGGAAAATGTTCTAATACAAGACAGACCTAGGTTCACCCTACTGAATCAAAGATCAACTATTGCTTTGCAGACAACATCATGTCATCAACACAAAGAAACCTCAAAAGAACGATTTGAAGCACTCATTCCCCTGTTGTGGTATGGATGTTTGAACTAAAGATTTTTTGCTTTCCTGTTTATATTTTCCTACCCATAAAATGAGTTTCAAGCTATCTGCCTTTATCTCATTTATAGATGAAACTGTTATGTGTTTGGGGTTTTAATACAGCATATTTTAAGTTGCGTTATTAGTAATGGCTAATCCGTTTTGTTTGCCATTTG